ATTGGAAGATGCATGGTGGGGGGATGTACGTGTACGCCACAGACATACATCCACGCGGCGTCTCTTTAACTCCTCCCATTTTCCTTCAATATCATTTGCCTTTTTCCCATGGTCTCCCAAGGGAACATACATTTTTTTTTTACCATGCCATCAGTGAGTGTTTTAGTACAGCTAGCTAGGGAATGTGTTGTTTGATTATTTTATATATTTAATTTAATTCATGAGAATTAATTTATATAAACTCAACCAAACACAATCGATAAAGCAAATGTAAGATTGGTTTAATATATGCAGAAAATTAGAGTTTAACCAATGACTATGGAATAATGTAGATTATTTAAAGGCTTAATGACATTGTAATCCACTTGACCTGAGATCAATGTGTTGGTTCGATATATATATTCTTGATTTCATTGTCTTCGAATAAAGAGGCCGTTACTCGTAGAACTTTAATGATGAGTATTGATCTTGTTAACCTAAAAAAATCACTAATTAATTACATGGCAAATGGCAATCCCTTTGAATCATGTGATAGCTCATGGAAAAGAGAAAACCAAGGAACATTAATTAAGAAACACTCGAATAAAATGTGTACCGCTCAACTTTTGTAGACTGTCGACTGCATACATGTCTTTGGAAGTGGTACAACTTATAATACTTTCCGACACCCAAACATGGTTCAATGCTAAATGTCTCCATATTTTTAAACACGATGAGATGCAAAAGTCTGTAAACAAAAGTAAGTTGGTAAATAACTAACGTTTTAATCACACAAAAGCAAAATATATATATATATACAGAGAAGAACTAATAATGCTCATTAAAGACTAGGGCTTGATTCCATTTCCAGCGGCCGCCAATTATACAAGTCCTGTTGATTCACAAAACTTATTAAACTAATGGAATATTAAGGTTTACAAATATTTTCTACTTAATTTATTAAGATATATATATATATATATATAAACATACCAATTAACACATATAATGTATAGATTATTGTATATATATTCTATTCAACAGTAATGCCCTTATAGACTTGAGTCGTCATTGAAAAGTAGCGTAATATCATCACAATCACAAGTTTTAAACGTAATAAATGACTACTTACAGAAATTAAAATCAACCAAAATTATATGTCAAATAATATAATTCTCATTAGTTCGAAGGTATAAAATCATTACTTTCTTCTAAAATGTAAAAAAGATAAGGAAGAAAATAATCTGAATGTCTCTTAAATAATTAGTATTTACTAAGAGTGATTCCTATAATTACAACAGCTCTACAAGCAGGCAATGGAAGATAAAGTATTTGGGTTGGCCTAATTATTCTAAAAAGAAATAAAATAAAATAAAATAAAAAAGTCTCTTTGAAACCCCAAAAGGGCCTTATGAGGAGGGGGTTTCTTTCGATCTTTTGCCATTTTAAATACTAAAATTTCAAAGCCGTAACAAAATTTACCAACACATGAGGGGTTTTTTTGTTGTTTTATTGCTGCTTTTGAGATTAGTTGAACCCTCCTACATTATTGTCTAAAGGAGATTAATATTTTAATAATCCCCATAAAATCAATTAAAACATGCCTTCTTGTCCCCAAGGATAACTCCTCCTTTTTCCTGGTTAAGTGGCCAACAAGTACACATGACTTAAAAAGCCATTAATTTCCGATGGTGGGATAATGGCAGCCAATCAGGTCGATGCCATGCACAAACCCTTGTCTATACGTCCACTTCTGTTCTCCAATTCTGCTTATTAGATTAGCCTTGTCATAATCCTATCTTATTTTATTAAAATCTTTCTTTTCTTTTTTTTGGTATTGTGATTAGAAACTTAATTAAACGTTGGTTTTATGATAGTACCCCACACCTTTGCTGTCATATATCTTCTTTTTCTTGATAATTTAATTATAAGTGGTAGAGTTTAAGTTTCACATGAATATCGAGATATAAATGTCAAATCACTTATCCCAAATATTATTTGATCAAAGAAAAATGCTATCTGAAATACTTGATATTTTGGACAATCAAATAAATTCTATTTGTTGACAGGAAATAAGTGGTCAATATGTTTCATATTTTAGACAATCAAAGGAACTTTACAACTATTCCTAATTTTAATTAAGTTGGGAGAATAAGAGAGAATAGTTGGGATAATTTCACTTTCAAGTAAAAAACATGGTTTGGGTCTTCAACTTTATGAACATTAATTAGTAACCTTTATAACCTCCGTGACAAGGAAATATCTAATCTAAGCAATATTTCAAGCTCTGCTCCAAGATTTCTAAAGTCTTGAAAGATAAAAAGCAACAATTTTGTTTTACTGAGGGGTTCACTTAGAAACGACAGAGACAAAGGGGGGTGTGGAATTGAAGATGTCAAGTTGGGGATGGATGTCATTATTAGGGGTTGGGTGTGGGGCCTAAGGTGCACAATTGGGCAAGGTCTACATGTTGTTGCCTATGTGTGACCGGGGAAAGTGATTGAAAGTGATTAATGATTATATATTAAGATTAGTTAATGATGATAATACTGTATTGCTCGACAAGCCCTGACCTGCTATACTTAAACTAATCAAACACTAGAAAGGAAAAAATGAAGCCCCTCTCTCTCCCTCCATCCTATTCGTTCTTCCCCTTCCTCAACTGTTGTATTCCAGTGTCACTATCTTTTGTTCCATTCATTTTTGGAATATATGCTTTCTTTCCTTTTGCTCTCTCATTATCTGTACTTGACCAGTATTTAAGAAGTAATCCACCATTTCATGTCTGAAATTTACAATATATTTGTCCTTAATCAACATTATTAACATAATCATGGACTTTTGATTTTTGCCAACAAAGATGGAACAGAACAGATACTCTATATATTACTATATATTCTTTGATTTCTTTGTTAATTTCGGTAAAAGAACCCCATATCATACTAGTTTGTGCCACTAGAAATCCACATCAAACTTTATTGGATGGTAATTTTGACTTCTAAATGTATATTTGCTACAACCATAATTAAAAAGGTTATATATATATATATTATAAGATATCTGTTCGAATTAATAAATAAGTATATTTATTGTATTATTTTTATTAAATTTAAAATATTTATATATAAGTAAGTCTTCAAGATTTATCCACATAAATAAATTCCTGGTATCAAATTAGGAATATATATGATATATTTTTAACCATGGGATGTTTCTAATCATAGGAATACCTAAGTCCATTTTCAGGTGGATCATAGCAAAGGAGAGGGACCGCTACTTCAAACCTATAGATCGTAATCATGTCTGGAGTAGGAGTATGAGTAGGGCAGGGACCTCTAATTAAGGCCATATATAAAATCTTTCAAATCACCAAAATGAGACAATTCCCTTCTAAGAATTTCTTATTCATTTTGTTTTTGGGATAGAAAGGAGTGTCACTATATTTAATCTCCAATCAAGTTGATATATGTGCTACTGTCATCAGCTAGCTGATCAACTGCCTCTGACTGAACCTTCCTCTGATTCGCATATTTAACTAATGAGCCACACATGCGTGCTGCAAATTTCAGATCATATTATTATAAAGTGATCTCCACATGTTAGAAGGGTTCAGTTAAACTGCCAATACCAATTGGTTCTTATTTGTCCTACCTATTGTTTGTCCCCTATTCAACTACTTTTTCTTCCTAAGGATTAAATTGTAACCTTTGAGTGTGCAAAGTTTACAGTGATAATGGGAATCTGGATAATTCAATTCAAAGCCAGCATGACCATGCTTGAGATCAGAGACAGAGGGTAAAACTAGTAAAAAGTTTTAAATCTCAAGGCAAGCTTAATTTAGATGAGATCAGGGTTCAGAACCTCTCTCTCTCTCTCTCTCTATCTATCTATATATATATATATATATATATATATATATATATATATGTAGCATGCAGACCGTCAGGATAGTTGCTGAAATTGAGTTGTTCTCGATCACATATAACATTCACGGCAATAGCATATATTTTATGGTGTAGACTCAGAGGATAAGCCTCCAGAAGGCCCCTAAAAACTAAAAAGTTAATAATAAGACAGAATCTTATCCCCCGAATTATGAATTAAAAGAAAATTTGTTTTCAAATTCGAAACCCAAGTATTTTAATATTGTCAGTAGTATTTGTTTCTGTGATATGGGTATGCTGTTGGCATATTATTAATTTATTGTCCAGTAATTTTCAACCTATTTCATAGCTTAATTAAAGAAATTCAAGCAAGGGAAGAGAAGATGAAGGTCTACAAGTGAGAATAATACACGCAATGACGCAACAAGTTGGGTGATGGATGGAATGTTTATCTCAATGCTCAATTTAATTGCATCTGACCCATTGCCACCTCTATCTTTATATACACGACAACTAATCTGAGCTGCTCCTACAATGTATCTCCCAGTTAACCTTAAAACACCATAGAGCTGAAAGGAAAAGTCAAGACGCAAAAACAAACAAATTAAATTACTTGACAAGTTTGTCTATGGTAATTCTCCGCCTGTTGTTTTATTACAAAGGAAACAAATTGAAATCACTCAGGGAAAACAATTAATGGCAAGTGCTTAAAACTGTATGTTTTCCCCTTAATTAATTGCTTTTTTAACTTGTTAATCACCCTGGAATGGATAAATCTTCATTCACTCATAGGTGATCAGTGTACACCCAACAAAAGTACTTGCAGTTATCAGAGAAGAACCAAACGAAACCATAAAATAACTAGTAATAAATCCAATCATCAATTGCAAAACAAAATGGCTTTGGTTTGTGCTAGTTCTTTTGTCGTATAAGGATACGAAATGGAATCTCATTTGAAAATATAAAAATTAGATGAAAGGGGTGGAAGAGGGGTTTTAAAAGGAAAAATAAAGATATATGTAGCCCAATAAGGGGACCAAATGTAATAAAGAATTGATTATTAAATGATCCACCTCCCTCTTCCTCTGGTGTTTATAAGCCCCTGGTGATAATGCTTGCTCAAAGTTCTCTCTAAGAACAGAAGGAAAATAAACCACTAAAATACCCCTCCCAAACAAAAAAAAAAAAAGATGACAGGTTCTGGTTCCCCTTGTGGTGCCTGCAAGTTCTTGAGAAGAAAATGTGTTAGAGGCTGTGTTTTCGCACCTTATTTCTGCCATGAACAAGGTGCAACCCATTTTGCAGCCATCCACAAGGTTTTTGGTGCAAGCAATGTCTCAAAGCTTCTTGCTCACCTCCCTGTCAGTGACCGCTGTGAAGCTGCGGTCACAATCTCTTATGAAGCTCAAGCTAGGCTTCAAGACCCCATTTATGGCTGTGTTTCACATATCTTTGCTCTCCAACAGCAGGTTTTGTGACCCTTTTGACCTTGTTTAACTAAATTGATGATTTGAAACCCTAATTTGCGTTTAGATAGAGATCTAATATCAATCTACCATTGCTTTCTTGGTTTCAAATTCTACAGGTTGTCAATCTACAGGCACAACTTGCTTCCCTTAAGGAACAAGCAGCTCAGAGCATTCTTAACGGCTCTGTTACTGAAAACCCTAATGACAAACACTATGGAAAGATTCCTTCTCACCTCCAAGATGTTCAAAGTTGGTTTCACCCAGATAATCCAAGCATGGCACCACAATTTAATCCCGACCTCTCCAATCATCCCAACACAAATTCGTACTGTGAGACTGGGTTTTTGGACCCAACCTCTTTAGGAAATTATGAAAATTCAGTCATCTCATCAGGAGAAGATGCCTCATTTACCACTACCACTTACGGGGAGACTCCTCATTCAATGTCTTCCTTTGACATGCAAACAAACAACAGACAATGGACTTTCCAGGATGTCGATGATCTTCAATCAATGGCCTTCGGCTATGCTCAACAATCATGAGATGAGGGGATCAAGAGTCTTCAGCAAAAGAGATTTATAAACCGGTGAAGACGATATTCGACCTTCCAGTTTTGAATTGATGTTGCATATCTTGAAAACATGCACTTTTGTTGCTATAAATAAAAGCTAGGAACCCTAGGAAATGTTCATACAATCGGAAACCCTAAAATCTACCCTACTATTGTTTTCCATAATCTAGTGCAACCTTGGATATTGATAGAATTATACTGTATTTCTCTCTCTTACAGAACTTGAGAAATTCTGGTTTTGTTTGAGCTAATTTACCTTGTTTATTGACCTAGTAAGGGCCTCAATTTTTGACCTAATAAATTACAGTTACCTAGATCCTTTTTTCCACACTTTCCCTTTATAAACCTTTTTATTTGTTGGTTCAGAACAGTTAACCAATTGGTCTATTTAATGGATTTGATTCAAGATTAAAGCATCTGATCTAAGTATCCTACTCATTAAAATGTTCATGATTTAGCTTAAGTTTAATTATTTACTCTGTTTATTTGCAAGAAAATCACTGAGGTGCAGAGATATAGGTAATTCTTTTTGTTTTTTTGTTTTTGGGTACAAATAATAGAGCTATTTCTTTTGTTGAAGCTATAGACGTAACGGTGCAACTTGACTTGTTTATTACCTAGTGTATACTGTCTTATAACTTGCAATTTTTGCAGCTTGATTCTAGTATCAAGGAAATTAAAACTCCCTTTTCCCTTTCAAGAATAGTACCATAGCGCTCAAGAGACAACAAATTTTATCAAAGATTTAAAGGTCTGAAATTACATTTGTCGTAGGAGAATAAGCATAAGGAAATACCTCATTTTCATTAAAATACTCGTGATTATGATCCCAAGAGAAATTTTAGATTATTAATGGAACCTAACTTTGGTCTTCACCTCAGCTTGTTTCGCTTTCAATTCTTCATTCCCAGCTTTTCCCAATATTTGATTTGGTGATGATTCGTAGGAAACATTTTCACAAATCTGCCCCCCACACACAACACCACCACACCCCCTCTCTTCCCACCCCCCCCCCAAAAAAAAAAAACCCAAAAAAAGAATGATGATTATAGTTTCTGGTGCATATGCTATATTATCTAAATCTCTTAACTAATGCTTTTAAATCTTACTTATGACTCATGACCAATAATATTAGCTTTGTTATACGTGAGGTTGTTTACTCTATATCTCAACCTTTCTGTGTGGATTTACAATATTTATATTATTTGCAATGCATTTTTCAGGGCAAAGCAGATTTTTTTGACTTGTCATATGGAATAAATTAAGCAATGAGTGCAATTTATCTGATTCTTCTTCCACTATAGTTTACTTGAAATTTCCTTTCTATCATTTATAGCAGGATATGAAGAGAGAAGTTAGAGGTGTGAAAAATATCTAAGCTTATTAATTACTTCATGGAATTACTTAAACTTGCAGGTTGCCATACTGATATTTTTGGTGAGTATAGTGTTCCTTGTTAGGGAGAATGCAAAGAAAGTAATTCGCGTTCTACCAGAAAGCAGTGTGTGAGTTGAAGGGTGAAGGAATATTAAGACAAATTTCGGTTGTCAAATCATTTAGGAAGTCTCTTGCTAAATGAGCTGTAAAGTCCTTGTTGCATTATTACTTATCAGGAAAGCATTTGGACAAAATCAGAGATATGATCAGTCAGTGCAAGTCTGATGTTTACCAAAATTTTGATTAGGATGAAATACATGATAAAATGGTTAGAGTATTATAATGCATTTGGATTGCAAATCTTGAATGAGGTAGACCTGACCACTTGTTTTCTTGCTCAACATACACTAAACAATAGCATCATAATTATTAGCAGATCACACACACACACACACACATATCCTTTTGTTTTAATATTGTCCTTTTTCTTGGAAAGCATGACGGGGGCCTATATCTTATTTTTGGGTAGATTTTCATTGATAGAATTCAGTGTTCATCAACATGCTGATGTCATTTTATATATTTATTTTTTCTTCTTAAATAATCTAATTGTAGACATCATTCATATAGGTTATTGAAGAAACATTGTAGCGACTCAGGATCAATAATTTATATTGTTACCCTTTTAAAACAAGGTGCAACTCTCTTGTTGCCACATGATCACTGAGGAAAGGAGCGTTTGCCATTTCTTGGATTGATTTCATCCTCTTTCTTTTGCAATATTGTTTGAATTGGCTAACACCGCGGAAACAAGAGTGACACTGATTAGGTATTCAGCCAGGTTTCTACAAGCCAAAAGAAGTAGATACATTAAAAAAATGTCACTATAATTAATTAATACCCTGGCCTTTCAAGTAGTTAGAAAGGCTTTGTTGAGGGTATGAACAAAACACTGGCAATTTATCTATTTTATCATGCCTGCACCACACCTTTAGTCCATATGTTTTTGAGCTCATAACACCAAATTTGACAATGCCAATATGCCTCCTATTTTTACTAGAACAGAAACCAATATTATTAAAATTTGAAGGGATACCAACTTTTAATTTTAATTTATTAGTCAAACCCGATTTGTATGTATACTTGAAATTTCTTTAAAAATTGCAAATGCATCAAGTGCATTTATGTAAATAAAGAAAAAATCAATTTTAGGAATTGCATTGCCCAAAAACGCAAGAAAACTATATATTAACTAACTTTGACCTCGTGCAATGCATGAGACATGAACGTGTATGATTTTTTAATTTAAAAAATTATAATTAAAAATACTTTAAAATTGAAATATATAATTATTACGGATATTATTAAATTTTAATATTGCATTACTTTGGTGTATATATTACCTTAGAAAGCATAATGAAGTATTCAAAAACATGGTTTAATGTTATTTGGAAAAGCTACTACATAGTCTAAGTGATTGATTACTATTTTACTAAAAAAAAAAAAAATCTATTCCTTCTATTAGTGTTTCATGTACAATCGTATAATACAAAAAAGATAATAAAATGCACAGTTACATGAGGGTAAAGCATTAATGCACATATTAACACATCTATATACTTTATCAAGTAATCTTCTACCTTGTTATATATATATATATATTATATGATTTTCAAAAGCTTGCACATTACATCCAGTACAAATATGATTGATCTCCATATTACTTTTGGGTTTCTTTTCCGCTCTCCAACAAGAACTGCAGCAGGCCCAACTAAAATTATAATTACGTAATTAAAGATTGGCCCGTTTCTAAATGGCTTAAAGCTATTAACTGATCTGGTTTTGCTACGAAACAGACTCTAATTTGGTCTTAGCAACCTTGTGATCTTGCTTCATTCAACTCAAGCTTTGAACTCGCAATTTATCTGAAATGAATTTTAAAACAGCTCTACACCTCCTGAATCCTGATGATTGGAAGCCTAATGCTTATATCACCTCTAATATAAGTCAGAGGCTGGATGGTCAACTTTCTTTCATTATCCTATCCAAGTTTATTAATTTTTCGCAACATGATCATACACCATCTACAAGGAAGCACGATTATATGGAGCTGCTTGTAAAGACAAAACTGTCCATCTGATATCATCCATTACTGGACCCCACAATCAACGGTTATGATTACACCCACGTGTGTGTGTGTGTGTGCAACCTTAGTAGTCAAATTTCGTGTTTAAAAATTGATTCATAGCTGCAAGAAGACGTGTATGTAACCCATGTTGCTTTTCTTATGTTTAGTCCAAACTCCAAACCGTTCCTTTCATTTTTTGTGTTTTGCTTCTAATTGTTTAATCCCCATATAAGACAATAATTCGTGTTTATCTCTAGTCTTAAACAAACACGTCATCAACAGTCCCATGTCATGTGAATAAAAATTAAATTTCTAAATCTTCATTATTCATCCTTTACCATACCTTAATAATCTACACACTTTTGACAAAGATTGGAGTTGGAAGTGTTTGTCACGGTTCTAACTTTGTAACTTAAATATTTATAACATGGGGCTCCTGTCCTTTAAGAATTAGACTCTGTCAAAGAAACAGACCATACCCTCTTTTTATCTTTTCAACTCTTTTAAGCATATTTTATATGTAATAATTTATATTGTTTCGTACTAAAGTTGTGTTTTTTCTTGTGTTTCTTTAATGTGACAGCTTTTTCCACTTCCTTGAGCTCACATTCAACTAATCATCACTCGTCTCCAATTTAATTATTCAGTCTCTGGAATAATTTAACTTTTTCTTAGTGCGAGTAATGGAGTCCAACAAATGCATTCTAGACCTTAATATTCGTGGTTCTTTTTTTCTTCTTCTAATGCAAGAATAGACAAAAGGATGAAAGTGATTACTGCCGCTTGACTGTGTTTGATTAATTAAATAATGATAAAGATTTTTATGAAAGGGTAATGGGCTCGAAGAACTTGACATTTGATTAATCCCCCAATGTGTAGCCTGATTGCTCAAATTATTTATTCTCTTGCATGCTTTTTTTATTTTTTTGGGTGTTGTTTTAGGTTTTAAGTTGGTTCAATGACTACTCTGGCAATTGTGGCTGCAATGGTAGCAACAACCAAGCAGGATATTGTTGGAAAATGTTACATAACAGTATCTCAAAAGAGGATTAGAAGACCAATTTATTATTGCTAAATTGTCACAAATAGTTTACTAGTGAAAATAGGGTGATGGAGAATGAGACGGGAACTAGTTCACTCTCTTGAGACGATATGCGCCCTCTTGATGATAAGAATCAGTACAAAGAGGCTGTACTGCATGTTGCCCCGCAACATACCAACAAGTCCACTCACCCACTCTACACCTTGCTAACTTGCAAGTTAATTAGAAGGCAAAAACAGGAACAAAATCGATACCTTCTTCACCCAATTAGTTATAACTCTTAAATAAAAATTTAAAATCTTTTCCTAGGAAAATGTAAGTAACAAAGGAACAATTGAAATTGAGTTTTCTTTTTTCTTTTTGATGATCCAAGAGGACAAGTATGATGCACCCAACCATTTGATTTATTGATTGATGTATTATC